TATGATGATAATTTGAGTGTTCATAGTATGAGTCTTAAGCGGATTAGTTCTGCTAGGCTAAAGTTATTTATGTAAGGCATTGTTTAACAAGAAATTATCAGAAAAGAGGCTGAAATTGAAAAGTGAGGTTCGGATGCTTGAGATTCAAGGAAAGGCTGAGTTTGCAGAATGAATTAAGGTTTGTGAGGAAGAAGATGATCAGTTGCCTGTGAATTGTGGTAAGATAAAGGCAAACTTGGAAGAGTTTTTAGAGCATAATACTGGTTGTAACATCCATTGAGAAGAACCACCCAGAAGTTCAAGAGAGGAAGGGTTCCACGAAGTTGGAAATACGTTTTATACTGTTTTTAATAGTGCTAGTTTACCTAAAATTGATATAACTGATTTTAGTGCAAACCTGGTCAATATCACCGTCCTGTTAATAAGTTCACTAACGTTGTCGAAAGTAAATTGTCCTATAAGAGTCAAATATCACTATATCTGTTGCAATACTGTAAAGGGAAGGCAGGGACGACTCGTGGGGCTTACATCTCTTCGCCTTGTCACTTGGGTGAAGACAGAACACGAACAATTTTGTATGATCTATATGGAAGTAAATATCTGGTCGCCCGTGAACTAACTATGGGTTCACTCAACTATTTATCCGTTAGACATTCAGCAGATGACTTGAACGACCTTGTCATTGAGCAACGAAATATATGTATAGCGTTGTAACAAATGGGATGTGTCCGATGTAAATTCCACAGCTAATTTTGAAACAATCGTATTACAACCGCCATTGGAATTGAAGAAAAAATAGACAGAGGCTACCGATAAGACCATGCTTACCTGAGAATGGTTTTTTTAAATAAAAGACTGAGCCATGGTTGTTCGAAAACGGTATAGGAGGCTGGTCAAATGTTATTCGAAGATCAGTAGCAAACATTATGGACGCTAAGATATAAGTGACTTGAAGATCTGTAAGTTGAGATTTTTGTAAAGTTTTCTAAGAAGTGGAAAATTGTACTGAGTTATCGAAATTAACTGTTACGGCAACGACATAGGAACGAAGAAGACCTGGTTACGTTATCCTTTTATAGGACTACATACTCAGAAAAACAACAGTCCGGTGATTCCTAGGTTATAATAGTTTTCTAAAACCAATATGTGATAGAGATAAGAGAACCTAATATTCTTCAAAAACCTTGGACAATAATCATTTTTTAGAATTGAAACTAAATCAAAACGAATGTTTGGTCCTAATTGTTTAAAAAATTAACAAATACAATTAGACTACTCAATACTAATAAGTAACATAATGAGCTATACTAAAAGAGTTGTAGGGGAAATCAGAAAAGTCAATTAACAACATAATGACGGGTTTTGCTTCTACAAAGTAAACTGCAAAACTCCTAGTCTTTTTTATTTTCAGGCGAACAATCACCCCTCCAATTTTTATTAATCTTTCATGGGTTATTTATGGATTTTTCAGTCTTTTTTAACGGTTTGTGGATTGAAAATTATCAATGGCGAAATTAAAAATCGTTGACTCAATCCATTAACCTAGAGGAAAGTTTTTTACGTGACTTTAAGTAATAGGTTTCAATTGAAGACTAAAATACGCTAAATGGAAAAAATCACGTACACCACTCAAACTCTTCCTTGAGAGTTGAAAATTGTCCAATCGGAAGAGTGAAGGCCGAGTTTCCTCGGAAGTCAAGAAGCTGATAACCCTTCTATAAGGATTTGTTGCTGCGCATTCGCGCTGAAGAAGAAAGGAAGGAACTTACTCTCGAATGGCCAGCTAAGTTTGTGGAGGAACATGCAGTTACCGAATAAATTAGGTATGGCAAGCTGGTGGCAGTCCAGAATGATGAGGAATGAATTAAACCCACTACATTACAACTGTTGTCATCATAAATACCTAGCTTGAGGGCAGAATTCTGTCAATCAGAAAAGTAGCGAGAATCCAGTTTGTACCATCTATGGAGAGAACCACCTCTGTGGTCAAAATATCTGGTTGGAGATAAAATATTAAGCTGTGCATGAAGTTGTAGACTATAGAAACGGGTGCATTACTGAACTGATTTGGTGGACGATATCATACATAACACGTTATCAATGATAACTGTCAACCGGAAACCGACATCAGCAATAACCATATCGAGGATCTGGAGTGACAGAGAGAAATTAGACAGCAGCAATCCAATAATAGTTCTGGAAGTATTACCAGTGACCTTAAATTTTATACGAGAAAAATCGATTGTTTTCTAATCAACGTATGGATCTACCACAACTACAGATCTTTTCATTCTTCAAAAGGCAAGCGAAACATCCGTTTTTTTGGAAATTTGTACTCATTTGAATATAAAATGACATTAATAATGAAAGTTGTTCACACATTAACCTGGTGATTTGAAAGCTGTTGGTCAAAAATCCGTTTTAACTGAGGTTTCACACCATTTTTATAATAACCTTTGTTGGAAAATAATGCTAACACATATAATAAACAAAAGTACGAGGTTTATACTATTGATTTAATCATTCCATATGAATATTGTGTTATTAATCAATGAATTTCATGATTCCATAATTGCAATCTAATCCATATGTCATTACCCTACAAAAGGAAGTATGGATCAGTTGATATGTACAATATTATTCGATATTGAATAACAATCACGAGTTTAAATGTTGAATTTTATTTTCTGTTAAACATTTGACAAATATTGATTAACATGGGATTTTGAAATCTTGGGTTGATCAATGTTAGACCACCGTTAGAAACCTGAGAGCACTGGACGGTTGTTTCGTCCTGCTATGGGACTCATCAGCAGTGAGCATCCACGACTCCTGCACCTCGCAGGGTTCGAGCCCAGGACCTTCTTTATTGCGCGCGAACGCCCAACCTATGGACCAATGAGCTAAATATGGGGTGGTGTTTATGAACATATCGAGCACACATGGCTTGTCATAGCTTTTGGACAAATTAATTAACCATTTCTCCTTCAGTTATTCACACATCTCTTAACCTTGTCAATTAGTCGCTTATATCTTGGTTGTTTTTACTTGAGTGCGAGTGTGTACTGCTTACTTCACTTATCACATGAATTGCTTATTTTCGTCTGACTATAAACAACCAGTCGTACCCCATCATCGCACTGAGTTGGATCACTTGCCTTCTCCACTTCACTTTATATTCTCATGTCTGTCTGCGTGAACGATTGCATGAAATAAACTCATCCAACTGAATCCATATTTGGTTTCTTATTACCGCTAACGCACTAACAAGGTTCGCTTAAGCATGATATACGGTAACTGAAGGGAAGATTTGTTTCATAGACTACCCAATCCCTCCGTCCAAATTAGAGGCAATTTGCAAGCCACTAAATGGTAAAGATATATTTTTATTTCAGTAGATAACAAGATAAATGCATCGAGATAAAATACGCATATGGAATGTTTTGAATAGGTCATCTTAGGAGTTTCATCAGTAAACGATTACTAACATGGTACATTGATTTCTAACGTGGATCAAAAACAAAGTTGCACTAAATTGTCTACAAATTGTGAATTACTTCTTTTTAGTACTCTCTCATAAGAGCATATAATGGTTGGAAAATCCTACAATAACGTACGATCATGTTTTTTTTTTGAATATAAGTTACAAAGACAAATTTATAACCATCAACTTCGAGACTAAATTGTTGAATACTTCCTCTTAATATTCGTTACTGTCTTTTTTCCCCTTGACAAACTTTTTCTATAGGGAGTTTTGTAAAGAAAAACATGTAGAATTCCCTAATGTAAATGATAAACTAATCTACATTTCCTGATTTTCAATATTGATCCAGTTAGTTAAGATCAATTTGTGATTATAGCAATGAAAATTCTGCACTTATCATTATTGCTGTCGTTTGCCAAGAAACACCCTGTTTAGGGAGAAATGCAGTCAAATAAATTATGACACGTTATTTAATTTAAAGTAGATAATTTGTTAATCTGTGCATTATTTTTTTTTATTATAATTATTATTACTACTATTACACATGAACTCTATGACATAAGTAGTATTGGCACACAACCAAGTGTAGAAAAAGCATACTCCACCTTAAAATGATTAACTTTTTCCGTGGAACGAAAAAATTGGAACATACTAACTGTATGAACTGATTGTGTCATGCTATGACGTAATATGCGCTATGCATGCGTATATATATATATATATATATATATATACAACAAACTGTTACGTTTGATTGTGAAAAACGCCCTAGTAAACTAACATATGATGTGGATAGCAGTAGATTATTATTAGTAAACAATCGATGAATTAGAAGAAAAAAAATCCACATGCCACTACTACATACACTTTGTCAAGTATGTTTTAAATGGTTATTTACACAGACAGATAGATAGACAGACAGGCAGACAGACCGACAGAAAAAAGAACAAGAACACAAACAGTAGAACCCGAATAAAGCCCAAATTTATCCGTATTTACTAAATAAAAAAACATTATTTATGATAAATGTGTAGAAGAAAATGAAATAAAAGTTAGTTAGTCAGTTAATTAATTAATTCAATAAGTAAATAATGTCATCATCTTCATTGACAAACAATAGTGCAAGCAGAGAAGCAGAAAGAGAGAGAGAGACAGTGAGAATAAAATAGGATTAACAAACAAGTGAGATGACCAGCATCTTTGGTGGGAAAATTTACAGCAAAAAAAGGAAACAAAACGAAACACAACACAACTAGGAAATAAGTGAGCTGAAGAAATTTTCAGAGAGAAAAAAAAAGAAAACATGTAACAGACATCATCAATGTGGAAGAGGAAAATTTGTAAAGGATGAACATATTCAAAGTCCAATGCGGTTTGTTTGTTCTTTTTCTCATTTTTCTTTAATACACACAAAAACCATTTTAGCCAAAGAAAAAAATGTTAAAAAAAAAAACAGCACTGAAAGACAATAAATAATAAACGATTGAATACAATCTGACACATAGAGAGAGAGAGAGAGAGAGAGAGAGAGAGAGAGAGACGGAGAGCGTAGACAAACTCAAACTGAATAGGAGGAATTGAAGTGATGAATAGATAGATAAGTTAAGAGATACAATCAATCCATCATGAAATGATAGAAAATAAAAAAAAATTCAACAGACAATTGAAACATTAAACAAAAGGTGGGTGTGTATGTTGCCGGTTTTATTGACTGATATATTTATTTACATGGCATATAAAACATTTGGCAAATACAGTAACACATTTTTATATAGATATATGTAAAGAGGAAAATGAACTAATACAGTTTAATTTGATATTTTACTAAGGAAAGAACATTTTTTTCTAAAAAAAAACATATCATCATCATCATGACTATAAAAAGGCATCTCTCTCTGTCTCTCTCTCTCTCTACATATATATTAACTATAGACGAGAAATAGTAAGAAAGAAAATCACTATGATCGGTCAGTTCATGTAATCATCAAATATAATATAGATTGATTCATTTGTTGAGAAATGTTTTTTTTTATACATTTTGGACAACATGATAATGGTGATGATGATGATGTCTTGAAAAAAAATTTATTGATTCATTGAAATTAAGAATAAAAAAAATCGTGAAGATTTCATTTAGTTATTTATTTATCGATCCATACTCCTCGCTCTCTCTCTCTCTTTCTCGCTTACATGATCGATTTTGATATGGAAGAAGAATACACTGTACATTGGACAATATGTTTCTTGATCAATGTCACCATATTTGAAGAATACAAATAGAAAATAGCATACTGATATTATATATATATATATTTATGTAATTAGAGGAGGAAACCAATCCGTCAATATAGAGCTTCGATTGCTTGACACAAACAATGAATGGATTATTGCATTTGGATTATTTTGTAAGCTGATGAATGAATGAGATAAAAGAATAAATATATATATATATATATATATATATATATATATATATATGAGTATAATTAACAACACAAATAATAACAACGAATATATATATATATATAAATATATTTATAAATGAAAATCTATGACAGAATTTATAATTGAGCGAAAAACAGAAAAACAAAAAACAACAATTAGATTACTTGTATTAGATTTGTTCTATTTGATGATATATATAAAAAAAACACAGCTAATCTTATTGTGCATGGTACGTAAACATGTCAATTTGATATGCTTAAACTAGTAGTACGAGTTTACCTTGGTCAGTAGTAAAGGAGAGCGAGGATCGATGATCCGGCGAAACGACAGGCTACTCTAATCCAAATATCCCACCTGAATCCCCCCTCTACTTGATATGAAGTAGAACCTGTATTCTACAAGCATCCAGAAAGTACAAGGTCTGAGTCCAGAAGAAGGCAAGGATCCAGGTCTGGGTCATTTGAAGTATGTGACATTGATAGTTAGGACAACCAATAGAATTGACCAATAGAATTAGATTTACAAACAATTATCTTAGGATATTGGATGAATATCCTAACAGATAATATGAATGCATCATTTCACATACATTTAAGCATTGTTAACTAAATGAACCACATTTTACATAGAATTGGAATTGAGAACGCGCAATTTATTCTGAATAAGACTAAGTGTGATAGATGCACCTGTGCTGGGATTGGGAAACCCAATACTTTTAGCTTTAGACATTCATTCAACAAGGGTGATCTACTTAGCGACAGCATCCAAATTCAATCAAACACAAAGTTTTTGATTAACAATTGTATGTTACAACAAGACAACAATTCAGAAGAAATATGATGCAATAAGTAATTTCAATCTAGGAGCGGAAGTTCACCTAAGTACGTACGTACACTTACAAACAACAAATGTTTATTGTTTTTTTTTAAAAAATTTAGCCCAAAAAAACCCAGAAAAAAACTATTTATTAAAGAGAGAAAACATATAAGATGATGACAATCACAATTACACTAATCAACAATTAAACAATTTTCTTTAGTAATAATTTATTATATAAAATAAAAGGATATGAGTAAAATTTTTGTTGCGGAAACGAACAAAAAAACAAAAAAGAACTATGACCTAAAAAAATTGGAAATCTGTTCAACATACAATTTGCATTTAGTCAGATTTTTGTTTTTCTCTTGGACAGAACAGAATTCAACTAATCTCCCTGTGTGTGTGTGCGTGTATATATATACATATATATGTATATAAAAAATTATCGTAATCATAGACATTGAACAAATATTGTGCGCACAATACCAAAAGTCCTGGGTTCGAATCCTGCGGGGTGCAGGAGTCGTGGATGCGCACTGCTGAGGAGTCCCATACCAGGACGAAACGGCCATCCAGTGCTTCCAGGTTTCTAATGGTGGTCTAACATTGATCGATTCATGGTTTCAAAAATGTGTAACTTAACAATCTTCACAACCGCGTAATGCAAATTACCTGTGCTCACTAGTGACTAGCTTCGTGAGGAATCTTCTCCGAGTTCTAGTGGGAAGACGTGACCAGTGAAGTTCAACCTGTTCGGGTGTAGACAGTAACTACCGAAGACTGTGTATGAGGTTGCGCAACTCCGTGAATATGATCAAGTTAGACATTAACACCGTTAGATACCGGCTCAGTGGTCCGATGGTTAGGCGTTCGCGCACAATACCGAAGGTCCTGGGTTCGAATCCTGAGGGGTGCAGGAGTCGTGGATGCGCACTGCTGAGGAGTCCCATACCAGGACGGAACGGCCGTCCAGTGCTTCCAGGTTTCTAATGATGGTATAACAGTGATCAATTCATGGTTTCGAAAATTTGCATTTAGTCAGAATTTTGTTTTTCTCTTGGACAGAGTAGAATTCCACTAATCTGTGTGCGTGTGTGTGTGCGTGTATATTTACATATATATGTATATAAAAAATTATCGTATTCATGGACATTGAACAAATGGTGAATATTTGTTTTACTAGATAGTAGAATATGAACTCAAAAACCTATTTTATTATTTATAACAAATTGATTAATTTGTCATGAATAAAAAAAGTTTTTTTTTTATAGAAAAACCAATCCAATTATTAAAGCATATGAATTGTTGCTGATTTTGTTTCAGTATTTTTCGAAAAAAAAAGAAGCATGTATGTTTTATGTAAACAGCATGTGTATACATTATACAATAATAATAATAATAATAATGAGGTGGAGAAAATTAGTAGGTTATCTATAAAATGAATTGCTCAGACTGGGAAAAACACTACATAAGACAAAGTGGACAGCCTATTCAGCTTCGTTTATGTGAACATCAATTAGCAGTTAAACGCTACAACATTTCTTGGCTTATATCAATACATACAGACAATTATGGACATACATTCGATTGGAACAATATGGAAATACTGGATAGGCGGGAGGACCAAAAGAACACTAGAGAATCTTTAGAAGCTGGGCACTCAGATCAATCAGCAATCGACAAGCACATCGACATTGACCCAATTTATCAGAACCAATTAGAAAAAAATCATAAATGACATAGGATCAAGAAACAGATCGAAAGGGGGATACAGTCAGTCAGTCAGTCAGATGCAACATAGAACTTCGTACGCAAGTACATCAGTTCATGTCGCCATACCACATCAGCACAGAGATATAATTGTCAATTCAAATCCAATAGTAGTAGAGGTAGTAAGGGAATTAGAAGTAATCGGAGAGGTTAGGGTTAGAAGATACTATTCAAGAAGTATGATTCAGTGAGAAAAGTTTAGAAAGTCAAAACTAGAGGTGTTGAAGAATCCAGAAGATTAAGGTTTGAGAGAACACAAAGAATAAATGCACCGGCGCCATTGCGAACGATTTTGAGCCATGTCATTCAAGGTCTCTAACCATCGATTATTATCATCTCGCGGACCCCAACCAGGTAGTCAACAATTACCGACATGGCTCAGTTCACTAGTCAATGACTTCATGGATTTCTGCCATGTTTTAGTCTGGCCGCCCCTAGCTTTCTTCCAATCTACTCCTACACTACAAAACAAAGTTCGACGAGGCAGTCGGTGGTTCGGCATACGCAAGACATGTCCCAACCACCTCAACTGATGAAGTTTCACCACTTCATCAATTGATCTGCCATCCTTGCCTAGTACTCGTTTCCTAACGACAGCATTGCTTACTCGGTTGTCCCACGGGATACGAGCAATGCTTGAAAGGGGGATACAATCAAAACAAAAGTGCAAACAACGACAAGTTTAAGGTCAGTTACAATCGAGGTCAACAGAACAAGCTACAAGTCAAACGTGGAGAAATTCAAATGCTTCAATTCCATCTGAAGTTTAAGCTGATAATGTTGTTCAGAAGAACAATGAAAGCTCCACAACCAAAACATTCCCAGCTCAGTGAACGAAACACCACCATAATAATAATGATAATAACAGGAATGTGTTCATAATATAAAACCTTGCGTTTAATTACATGTACTATCAAAAGTGTATCGACTAAAAATGAATGTTTATTATTAAAAAAAAAAACAAAATATAACACAAGAAAGTAGTAGTAAAAAAAATTTCATTGTGCAATAAAACACAAATGATAGTTTCTTACGATTTTAACGAAATTCAATTGTAATTAATTTTACTACATTACAAAAATAAACCAACAATGATTGATGTTATCGTTTATGGAGAAAAATAAAATGGAACTATAAAATTATTGAATAGCGTGTTTTAATTTACAATATACCTCTCTATATTGATGACACGCAAAAAACAAAACTAAGCTGTAAGAGATGAATGTTATAAGACAGAAGAAAGAATAATAATTAACAATAATCACAGTTATGTAACAAGGATAACAAGAAAGCGAATCTGAACAGTTCTATTTTGATATTGTTAGGTTCGTCACTAAGTATGCTTGAAACTATTACGGGGTTAACCTTAGTCGATAAACTAGAACGAGACAATGAACCAGCGTTCAGGTAAGCTACCTTGATCCGTTGACTCGAAACGGCTAAAGAGAAGTCTTCATATAGCGAAGAAAGCATATTCTACGAACACATAGCAAGCACAATGCAACCAAACACACAGATCCGGTTTATTTATACATCCTAGGAACGTCCTTGGGACAGTCACAAAAATAGCACACTAAAATACACAGCTAAGGATTTTCCTGGTGGGAAATGAAATCTCACGGTTAACTGATGACTCGATGCTCGCAAACATGAAATCCAAAATTAAGGCATTTACCAAGCGAGATCTGGGGATCTAACGTCCTCAACAGATATGCTTTTCGATTGATATGTGCCAAACTAATACGACTTCACATTAGTCGGTAAACGAGAGTGAAGAGAAATCACTCAGTGACACGATAGGATACTCTAAACCGAGTGTCCCAAGGCCACACTAAGTAGAGGAAGAAATCTTGACAAGACGTACAAAGTGTATTTTACAAACACCCAGAAAATATGAGGTTGACAAGCACAGAAATCCAGTTTATTTATACATGATAGAAACACCATTGGGAGAGCCAGAAAAATAGCGTACTAAAATAATACATTAACCAATAACAGCGAAGGATTTTCCGGGTGAGATATGTAATCTCAATGTCAACTGATCAGCTCATGCTCGAAAACATAGAATCCAAAATTAGTACCTTAATCAATTGACTTCAGGGTATCTAAAGATGATTTTGATAAAACAGTATGTTTCTCACGCAAAACACAAACGATTGAGATATCTAACATTCAAAATTATAGAAAGTATGATTTACGTAAAAAAATAAATGAACATTAGCCTACATACAATGAAACTAATTAAATTCATAAACTTGATATAGTCTACAATGAATTTTTCTCACGACATAAATACTCATTTTATAGTTACATAGAAAGTGAATTACTCTCTCACATCAAAAAAAAAATTATAAAGTATACTACACAAATTTTCAT